TTCATTGTGGCAGACCGGGAACAGATGAGATTGACATATGTGTGCCATGTGTGCCATTCAGTGTCGGGACTTTGAGTGCTGTGGCCATATTTTTGTCACATCGGACACTCTGATTTAAAAATCTAAACAAATGCGCTACACATACGGCGTTCCGTATACGTTGCGTACACATCGCATTCACATACAGGTCCCTCAGGCACATACGGCGTTACATACGTGTCCCACATACCATTTATATACAATTCGTATACTGAATCTATTCGGCCACATATGTTGGAGTCTGGAACGCGTACTGATAACGCATACGGAGGGTTTATGAGGTGTACACGGGGCAGTTTTCACGGGTTTTGCTCTTAAATTTCAAAGTATTTCCTACTGCCTGGCGTTGGTTTCTTTCGATCTCAGGCGGGTCGGGGTTGTCGACACTTTCAGAAACTTCTGAGCAAAAACTGATGTTTCGATCATCGTGAGGCTAGAAACAAAAATTAGTTTCTAAATTGTTTTCTGCACTTACATGCAAAACACTACGACATTGTCGTGTAACTAGCTTGCTGGTCCAATAAACCCTCCTACTTGCACTGTCATGGGACTTACAGCATGAGGAAGTGCTTGCTGTGCTTTGTCGTGGAGGTTCTGGTCGAACAGGTACTGCTGGCAATGGCTCATCACTAACAGCCACACGTTCTGGTGGAGCTTCTGGCAACTCCTCATCACCAACAGGTCCAGGTACCCTCACGACTTGCCCGCTTGGCAGGTCGTATTCGGGGAAATCTCCACAAAAGATATAGAATTTAGCCAATGCTGTTTTATAGAAAGGAGAAAACGGGTATGAAAAGTCATGTATTTTCGTAGGGGATCATCCGTAAAGCATGTCCGCCGTTCTTTGCCCTGAAAACACCCCCCTATCCCCCTGTCCGTTTTCGAAGCCCCCCCCCCCCCTCCCTTCGGACGTCCATTTTCACCTAGGCCACGCCAAATTCGAAGTAGCAGATTCTTTGGGTGGAGACTAAGAATATTTTTTTTTTCGAAGGAAGAATTATAGTATTGCAAGTGTCTGGTACAATGGGAGAAAACAAAATTGAGAAAACTAATTCAAAAAGAGATGCAAGAACTGCTAAAAATGATGACATGAAGTATTCGTTTCCGAAATTTTTGGACATTTTTGGACATCATTATAGCAGTACCATCCGAGGTTTGCTTCTAGGCTTTGGTGAACACAACCTTTTCCTATTTCATCCTCTCAAAAATATTGAGTTGATTTTTTCTTGCATAGTGCTAAGACAAAATCGAAGAAAATGTTCGCTTCCTTAAAAAGAGTGGTAAGATACAAGTGCAGTGCACTTGCTAGTGTTTTAAAAATTCATGTCAAAAACCAGATTTTAACTTGCCAAAAAAGATTCCTTATGTACAATTGAAACGCACCCTTGTGTAATTTTGAACGACCGCAATTGCGCTTTAAAAAGTCACTTCGGGGCGATCCTTTCCTGAATCAACCTTGTTTAGCAGCCCCGAGGGGGAAATCACTTCTTGGGTCCGTAGCGTACGGGCTATTTCTGTTATTTCTCGGGTATTTCTCCTGCCATCTCGGTTATTTCTTGCCTATTTCGGACTATTTCAGGGTATTTCGCGGTATTTCGGAGTATTTCAGGAGTATTTCGCGAGTATTTCACAGACAATTTCGAGTCTATTTCGCTCTATTTCGCCTTTATTTCAGACTATTTCGGGGAAAGGTGTACGAACTAAACTATTTAGCAAGTGATTTCCCCCTCGAGCAGCCCAAAAAATTTACTTTAAGGAAGCAAAATAGTTTCTGTTTTCTCTATATCTCTTTATGTCCTAATGTGGTGACATCCCTTTTTTGTGCGTATTAGTTGGGCACGCGGTTAACTGGCGCACTCTCGTGTCACTGGACAAGGAAGGGCATATGCTTCGCTGCAGACGACTATAAATCCTCAACTACGGCACTGAGACGATGTGCAGTATCACAGGACAATATGTCCTCGCTATGAGTTCATTAAATCTCTGAGTCTATAAAAATGATGTTTAATCGTCCTCGCATTCCGCTTATCGTGCCTTTGTCACTTTCTTACAAAGTAATAATCGATTTCTATTTTTGGGGACCCTATGTAGTACCAATACAGAAAAGTGCCTCCGTACTCTACTTTCCGATTGAGTGCCCTTGCAGGTTGTAGTTGTTCTGAATATCTATCGGCGTGAAGTCAACATTTGTGTCGCTGGTATTTCTACGGTCCTTGCCGTCAGTGCCACCTGCGGCACCGAGCTTGCTCGTGTCGTAGTCAGTCTGAGGCACTACGTGCATTAGAACTCTCATGCAAGAAATGCAGTCCGAGTCCGAATCCATAATTTTCGCGTCCAAGCGCCACTTTCCATAGAAAAATGCTGGAAATTTGCGAGCCACACCTAAGTCTGCAGTAGCATTCCGGAGATAATACACGCCCTATAAATGAAGAGAAAGGATTGTGATTAAACAAAATATAGTACGGAAGGGAAGGGTACAGAGCACAGGAGCATTATTTTTATCCATGTTCGGATCTGGAGGTCAAGAGAGCTTGGTGATAGCTGTGAGGAAGTCGTGCGTTTTTATTTTGAAAGTTTTTTGCAGCATGCGTACTGACCGGTGGATACGGGCAGTCGGCAGACGCATTGTTGGGATGAATGGCGTACTGAGCGTTTTTCCACTGTTTCGGGATGTAGGTCTTGGCAGTCTTGCATATCTGTTTCATTTTTATAATGAGAGCGTTATCCTTCCAACCTCCACGAGACGACCACGAGGCAAAGACCAGTTCAACCTAGGAATCAGGCGCGCTTGCGTTAGTCCCAAATATTAATTTAAAAGTTAAATTATTTGTTGAACAATGTAGAAAATTTAGTATGACATGGTAGATTTCGCTCTAGGCAGTACGCCAATTCGTCTACGGTTGCTGTATATGAAGCAGATGTGCTATACCCCGTAAATCAAGAGAAGAGCAGAGGGTCGTGTTCGAGTTTCATTTTAGTTTAGTGGGTCGGGGTCGTGGTGGTGCCCACTAAGACACACACGAACACTTCCAACTTCAATGGATCCTGGGTAGAAAGGCTAACCGCCCGGAGTTAGCCTTTTTAGCCAATGTGCATGTGTTTCATTTTGTCCACATTAGCACGATTTGTATGGTCTGGAGGTGATTTTCAGTAAGTTAGTGTAAAATCCTGGAGACCTTGTATAAGTTTAGGGTTAGAGTAACATAAGGAGAGGTTTTATTTTTTTTTTAGAAAGGTACAATTTGATATGTTTGCTGATAACTTATATCCAAGCAGATTTTGAGCCTAAACATGATTTTTATTTAGGCTGTGCGTTTAAAAAGAGAACGAGCCGTCGCACAGTGGGCTGGATACAAAAAGAGGTGGACATAATTCCTAGACGGCCCTTAACGACTAGTTTTGAACTTTTTTGGTCCCTGAATTATTCAGAGGGTCCAAGATTACATTTTCCAGCAGTGTTCCAGTGATTGTTTCCATTATTTTGAGAAAAAAATTGGTAATTTTTTAGAAAACTATATTTTTGCCCAAAAATATTTACAATTGGTGAAAGAAGCTTAGAAGTTTTTTTTTTTTGTACTCGAAATTCGATGGAATTCCATGACCCGACAGTAAAAGAAGGGAAATTGTCAGCCGCCTGCCTATCAGAATGGGTGGACCCAATGCGCATCTTTCCAAGTCGATTAATTAGGGAGAATTCGCGTTTTATGGATAGTGCAACATGAGAAACAACATCATTTACTTATTTTCTATTAATTTTAGCCGGCCCGATTGTCGCCTTTGCCATGAAACCCAATAATAACGACATTTATGGCGAGGTACCATAACTTCTAAACCGCATTACATTTTTACTACTCATAGCCAATGTTGCTGATTGTTGCGGCTGTTTCCAGTCGGAATCTCTTCGCAATGGTTCGATCTTTCTCCTGATATGCCTCAAACGACGGAAATCCACGGAAATCGCTTTGAAACTCAATTGAAAGGTGGCACTCCCCGAGCGCCTCTTCATCACACTACAGGCTTCCAGAAAACGTTCAGATAAATTATTAATATCTCCCAAATCTGGATGGGGCTCTATATATTTCGAAAGACAAAGGTTCGAACTGAGTTACGGTGACCCCCGCATGTATTTTCTTGAGGCCTGTAAAGTTAAGGACGCGCGTATGGTTTGGTTTAGGGGGCAGACCTGTGAATTGAAGAGTTTGGGAAAATAGCCATTACATAAAAACTAGACGTCGCATCGAGTTGGGATTAAATGTGTATTAAGAGCAGAGACGGGCGCTTATTTTGCCGTTGGCGCCAGTGCGCGCACTCTCCAGGGACATGCCCATCTTCACCTCCAACTAGACGATGCAGTCTGTTTGGTGTGCACGATTGTGCTGCAACGGATTGGTCTGGGACAGTCAACTAAATTGCTACTAACTTAAAAAAAGATGCCGCTAGTGGTTGACTTGCAAATTTCGAGATGGAAGTACTCGAAAAAAATCATATACCTGAAATACGAAAAAATTGAAAAATTTGTTTAGTCCAATGTGATCTTTTTCGAGTACTTCCACGTCAAAATTTGCAAAACCCCCAGGTCGACCACTAGGGGCATCTTTTAAGAGTAACTAGCAATTTTTTCGAACGCCGCAGACCCATCCGTTGCGCTGCAATCGTGCACACCGATAGAGACTGCATCGTTCCAGTTGAAGGCGAAGATCGCCATGTTCCTGGAGAGTGTGCGTACTGGCACCAACGGCAAAATTAGCATCCATCTATGCTCTTAATACGTCTTTAATCTTAAATCAATGCGGCGTGTGGTTTTTATGTAGTGCCGACTTTCACAGGTCTGCCCCCTTAATGTGTCATTTTACAGGCTCCACATTTCTTGCCCCGTCGCATCGCTGTAAAGTCGCCGTTGATCATGTTTGGTGAAAATTTTGATGATTCGGATGGTAGTGAGGAGGAGCTGCAAGCTATTGTAGCTGTCGTTATGGCTAATAGTCCAAATGAACTGGTAGATGGTAAGCACTACTGACAATTATTAGAGGTTATGTTTTCTATTCCAGATTTGTCTAATGTTTATTCAAACCGTTTTTTTTCTTTGATTGACTGTTCAGGAGAAGAACGTGAAGAAGTCATAGGAGTTGACCTCAACGGATTTCGTCTCATGTCGAACACATCCTTTCGTGAGCACTTTGGAATGGACCGGATTGTGTTCCGAGTAATGATTACACTTTTTGCAGTAGCCTTTGTCAAATCCCACTGGTGGACGTACGTTCCTCTGTCACATTATGCCTGGACTTAAGTTCCTCTGTCAGGTCCCACTGGTGGACTTACGTTCCTTTGTCAGCTCATGTATGGACTTACGTTCCTTTGTCAGCTCATGTATGGACTTACGTTCCTTTGTCAGCTCATGCATGGATTTACGTTCCTTTGTGACATTTCATAAAGGCCAAACGGTTCAAGATATCAACATGCCGTTTGGCTGGCACAATTGTTACCATGTACACATCATTTCGCACCCAAAAAGTGAAAATCACCCAGAGGTGAACTTAAACCCCTTTGTCATATCATCAGTGAAACGCCCTGTCGGGCTCCACCCGGACAAGTCTGACGCATCGAACGAAATCGGTCAGGCCGACAGGAGGTCTCGGGTGCCAATCGGACTGTCGGGTAAAAACGGAGCGGCCCGACTTGGACTTTTAGCCCGACGGAGTCTGGCTACGGATCTTTTCTGGAGCAAGTCCGACAGCGATCCGACTGATTGCGGTACAAGTCGGAGGCCTCAGAGGTTCTCGGACTCTTTACGATACAAACCCGGATACATTTTCGGATGAGTTCGTTTTCACAAGGGTACACAAATTACCCTGGGTTTTGGGGAAAAAATATTTCGTTTTGTAATTTTAAATGGTCTAAGTTTTTCTATGTCTTGGGCAAATGAGTCCACTAAATTTGGTGAATAAATAACAGAGATCTAAATGCGAGCACACGGTACAATATGTAATGGTATACTTTAACAAGGTATTTTGAGAACAATTTCTTTAATTTAAACAATTTACTCACTATTGAGGGGTGTTGATGCCACATATTGAGCACATGTATCATCATCACAGATTAAAGTGTCATTGAGATAAAGAGCGGACTTCAGAGTGAGATAATGTTTCATATATAATATTTTTAATTTGCACATTTGCTCGGCAATGACAGTCTCCCTAAACTGTAGAGGAAACAGACTAAACTTAGAGGATAAAGCTCGTTTAAATATAACGCTATTTATTTGCTGCAGTTTACACGACGTACCTCAAGACAAACAGAGTTGGAGAATTCGCGTTTTATGGATAGTGCAACATGAGAAACAACATCATTTACTTATTTTCT